TCATACTTCGTTTCAGTTACGTATTGTAATTACCAACAGATGGCATTAATGTCTCTCTTGTTTATATAGATTGAATTTTTACTAAGAAAATATAGTCAACAGTAAGAAATCTATAGTTGTGGGGATTGGTATAAGAATGAATGTATGAAATATGGGAAATATTTCTTTAAAAAAAATGTTTTTAAGAAGAAAATTACAGAACGAAAAGCAAAGTAAAATACACAGAGCCACAAGAAACCTGAGGAAGACTGTGAGGAGACATGGCAACACTGTGGTGTAGAAGGAGGATGTTCATGATCCCTCTGCTCTGTGTACTGGGTGAAGCTGTTGAGGAAACTGATATAAAATCTATATAACTACAATGCATGGTGTCCATTGTGACACCTGTGAGGCCAACTGTACCTGCCTCCCTGTTGTCAGGTAACATATACACGGAGAGCCCACTGGACCATGAGGCCACCAGCTTGCATAACTTAAGGGTGTCGGTGACGGACGAGGGTGGGCGAGCCAACTTCGTGGTGGTGCGTGTGTCCGTCCGTGATAAGAACGACAACGCTCCCCAGTTCACGCTGCCAGAGTACCAGGCCAACATCAACACCGACGTGGCCCCGGCACTACCATACTGAAGGTAGGTCAAGTTGTTCCATCACCATACTGAAGGTAAAGTTGTTTCATCACCATACGAAGGTGAGCAAGTTGTTCCATCACCATACTGGAGGTAGGTCAAGTTGTTCTGCCACCATACTGGAGGTAGGTCAGGTTGTTCCATTACCATACTGGAGGTAGGCCAAGTTCTGCCACCATACTGGAGTAGGTCAGGTTGTTCCATCACCATACTGGAGGTAGGCCAAGTTGTTCCGCCACCATACTGGAGGTAGGTCAAGTTGTTCCATCACCATACTGGAGGTCGGTCAGGTTGTTCCACCACCACTGGAGGTAGGTCAGTTGTTCCACCACCATACTGGAGGTGGATCAAGTTGTTCCATCACCATACTGCAGGTAGGCCAAGTTGTTACATCACCATACTGAATGAAGGTCAAGTTTTACACCACCATACTGGAGGTAGGTCAGTTGTTCCATCACCATACTGGAGGCAGGCATTGTTCCATCACCATACTAGGTAGGTGTTGTTCCATCACCATACTGGAGGCAGGCCAAGTTGTTCCACCACCATACTGGAGGTAGGTCAAGTTGTTCCATCACCATACTGAAGGTAGGTCAGTTGTTCCATCACCATACTGAGGTGTCAGGTTGTTCCACCACCATACTGGAGGCAGGCCAAGTTGTTCTGCCACCATACTGGAGGTAGGTCAGTTGTTCATCACCATACTGGTAGGTCAGGTTGTTCCACCACCATACTGGAGGCAGGCAAGTTGTTCTGCCACCATACTGAAGGTAGGTCAGGTTGTTCCATCACCATACTGGAGGCAGGCCAAGTTGTTCCACCACCATACTGGAGGTAGGTCAAGTTGTTCCATCACCATACTGAAGGTAGTCAGGTTGTTCCATCACCATACTGGAGGTAGGTCAAGTTGTTCCACCACCACCATACTGGAGGCAGGCCAGTTGTTCTGCCACCATACTGGAGGTAGGTCAGGTTGTTCCATCACCATACTGGAGGTAGGCAGTTGTTCTGCCACCATACTGAAGGTAGGTCGTTGTTCCATCAACATACTGAAGGTAGGTCAAGTTGTTCCATCACCATACTGGAGGTAGGTCAAGTTGTTACCACCATATTGGAGGCAGGCCAAGTGTTCTGCCACCATACTGGAGGTAGGTCAATTTGTTCCATCACCATACTGGGGTAGGTCAGGTTGTTCCACCACCATACTGGAGGCAGGCCAAGTTGTTCTGCCACCATACTGGAAGTAGGTCAAGTTGTTCCATCACCATACTGGAGGCAGGCCAAGTTGTTCCACCACCATACTGGAGGTAGGTCAAGTTGTTCCATCACCATACTGAAGGTAGGTCAAGTTGTTCCATCACCATACTGGAGGTAGGTCAAGTTGTTCCACCACCATACTGGAGGCAGGCCAAGTTGTTCCACCACCATACTGAAGGTAGGTCAAGTTGTTCCATCACCATACTGGAGGTAGGTCAAGTTGTTCCATCACCATACTGGAGGTAGGCCAAGTTGTTCCACCACCATACTGGAGGTGGTGTCAAGTTGTTCCATCACCATACTGGAGTGTAGGCTGTTGTTCCCATCACCATACTGGAGGTAGGCCAAGTTGTTCCATCACCATACTGGAGGTAGGCCAAGTTGTTCCATCACCATACTGGAGGTAGGCCAAGTTGTTCCATCACCATACTGGAGGTAGGTCAAGTTGTTCCATTACATATCTTTTACATACTCACCCCTTGGAAGAGAGACCACTCAACATTATTTTAAACTCATTGTGAATTTTAAAATGTTTAGAGAGTAAAAAGTAATAAACATTAAATAAACAGTCTAATGTATTCTTAGTAAACGTAATAAAATTTTTTTTGAGATTTTGTGTTGAGAAAAAGAGAACAGTTGTATTGTGTCTTACGGAAACCATAATTACTATGTTGATGCAGACTGATGTATCAACAGTGCTCACAGTACAGTCTCACACACACACAGACACACACTTTCATCCTCACATGCCCTATTATTATGACCTGCTCTCAATACAACATACAATCACCATCACACTCCCTCATATATCATACTATTACCATCACACTCCCTCATACCCCTTACAATCACCATCACACTCCCTCAAACTTCATACAATCACCATCACACTCCCCCATACCTCATACAATCGCCATCACACTCCCTCATACCCCTTACAATCACCATCACACTCCCTCATATATCATACTATCACCATCACACTCCCTCATACCCCTTACAATCACCATCACACTCCCTCATACCTCATACTATCACCATTACACTCCCTCATACCCCATACAATCACCATCACACTCCCTCATACCTCATACAATCACCATCACACTCCCTCATACCCCATAATCACCATCACACTCCCTCATACCTCATAATATCACCATCACACTCCTTCATACCTCATAATATCACCATCACACTCCCTATACCCCATACTATCACCATACACCTCATACCATATAATCACCATCACACTCCCCTCATGCCTCATACAATCACCATCACACTCCTCATACCCCATACAATCACCATCACTCTCATACTCTTTACAATCACCATCACACCTCATACCTCATATCATCACCATCACACCTCATACCTATACACCAACATCATAATCCCTCATACTCGCGCACTAACTCATCACACTCCCTCATATATCATACAATCACCATCACACTCCCTCATACCTCATACAATCACCATCACACTCCCTCATACCCCATACAATCACCATCACACTCCCTCATACCTCATACTATCACCATCACACTCCCTCATACCTCATACAATCACCATCACACTCCCTCATGCCTCATATAATCACCACCACACTCCCTCATACCCCATACAATCATCATCACACTCCCTCATACCTCTTACAATCACCATTACACTCCCTCTTACCCCATACAATCACCATCACACTCCCTCATACCCCATACAATCACCATCACACTCCCTCATACAATCACCATCCCACTCCCTCAGACCCCTTACAATCACCATCCTCCCTCCATACAATCACCATCACCTCCCCTCATACCCCATACAATCACCATCACCTCCTCATACCCCATACAATCACCATCACACTCCCTCATACCCCATCAATCCTATCACCTCCCTCATACCCATACAATCACCATCACACTCCCTCACACCCCCTTAATCACCATCACACTCCCTCACCCCCTTAATCACCATCACACTCCCTCTTTACCCATACAATCACCATCACAATCCCTCATACCCAATACAATCACCATCACTCCTCATACCCCATACAATCACCATCTCCCTCATACCCCATACAATCACCATCACCTCCTCATACCCCATACAATCACCATCACCTCTCCTTCCCCATACAATCACCATCACACTCCCTCACAATCACCATCACACTCCCTCATCTATCACCATCCTCCCTCATCTAATCACCATCACACTCCTCCCTCCATATCATCACCATCACACCCCTCATTACCCCATACAATCACATCATCCTCCCCTCCCCCATACAATCACCATCCCTCCTTACCCCATACAATCACCATCACACTCCCTTATACCCCATACAATCACCATCACCTCCCTCCTTCCCCATACAATCACCATCACACCTCCCCCCATAATCACCATCACACTCCTCATACCCCATACAATCATCCTCCTCATACCCATACAATCACCATCACACTCCCTCTACCCATACAATCACCATCACACTCCCTCATACCCCATACAATCACCATCACACCTCCCATTACAATCCATCACACTCCTCCTTACCCATACAATCACCATCACCTCCCTCATACCCATACAATCACCATCACACTCACTCACTTACCCCTACAATCACCATCACACTCCCTCATACCCTTACAATCACCATCACACTCCCTCATATATCATACTATCACCATCACCTCCCTCATACCCCATACAATCACCATCCACTCCCTCTTACCCCTAATCACCATCACCCCTCATACCTACAATCCCTCCTCCTATACATACAATCACCATCACACTCCCTCATACCCCATACAATCACCATCACACCCCTCACCACCCACAATCACCATCCTCCCTCTACCCTTCAATCACCATCCTCCCTCATACCCCATACAATCACCATCACTCTCCTCATACCCCATACAATCACCTCCTCCCTCCCTCCCCCTTCTTCCTCCTCATCACCCATCCACACTCCCCTCATACCCCATACAATCACCATCACACTCCCTCATTACCCCATACAATCACCATCACACCCTCATACCCCATACAATCACCATCACACTCTCATACCCCATACAATCACCACCACACTCCTTCATACATCACACTATCACCACCACAACCTGTTACGAATAATTCTCTTTTCACCACACTAAAACCCTGACACCTGATCATCACTACGCTCTATCACTATCACTGTCACTGCACCCTATCACCACTACTGTACATCTTCAACACGCTCAACACCACACACTATCACCTACAGAAATTCTTATTACCGCTCTCACCAAGATACTGTACCTCACACCACCACCACCACCACCATACTGTACCTCACACCACCACCACCACCACCATACTGTACCTCACACCACCACCACCACCACCATACTGTCTTACTAGCACACCATCACACCTTCATCATCGCCATACTCTCTTATCACCATACTCTCTTCACCACAGACTACCAACCAAAACACTTCATTACTACACCATACAACACTCTGTAATGACCACATTGCCCCTCCCTACCCTTAGAATATTTTATCACGCACCGCTCTCTACCACCACAACAGTGCCTTGATACTCACCATATTACCACAACAACACTTCATCACTCATCACACTTTATCATCACACTGTTATCACACTTTCTTGTCAGTCACAACACTATCAAAATAACACCTTTCCACTCACCATTCTTTGCTCACTTCACTGCCAACAACAACAACTTGTGTACCACCACACTGCCACAACAGCAACTACCACCACACTTCACCACCACCACAACAATAACTACCACCACACTTCACCACCACCACAACAACAACTATCTCACTTCACCACCACCACCACAACAATAACTACCACACTTCACCACCACCACAACAACAACTACCACACTTCACCACCACCACAACAATAACTACCACACTTCACCACCACCACAATAACAACTACCACACTTCACCACCACACCACCACCACAACAATAACTACCACACTTCACCACCTCCACAACAATAACTACCACACTTCACCACCACCACAACAACAACTACCACACTTCACCACCACCACAACAACAACTACCACACTACACCACCACCACAACAATAACTACCACACTTCACCACCACCACAACAACAACTACCACACTTCACCACCGCCACAACAACAACTACCACACTTCACCACCACACCCCACAACAATAACTACCACACTTCACCACCACCACAACAACAACTACCACACTTCACCACCACCACCACCACAACAACTACCACACTTCACCACCACCACAACCACAGCAACAACTACCGCACTTCACCACCACCACAACAACAACTACCATACTTCACCACCACCACCACAACAACAACTACCGCACTTCACCACCACCACAACAACAACTACCACACCATAGCCACACTTCACCACCACAGTCACAACAACATAACTTTTCACACATTCCTTCTCGTCCCAGGTTGAGGCGAGCGACGCAGACGAGGGCTTGAACAGCGAGGTGCAGTACCACATGTACGAGGCCAACAGCTCCGAGGCCCTCACACTTTTCAAGGTTGACCCATCCTCTGGTCAGGTCACCCTCGCCCTCAGTGCCCAAGGTCGAGGTAAGTTTCACTTTCTGTTCGTGTTGGTTCATATTCTTATCTCTGTAAGTAGAAACAAGTATTTGTGCATAACAAAGAGAAGATATTATTTTAGCGCAGTTAGGCTTCTTGTGTGTGTGTGTGTGTGTGTGTGCATGACCTGTTGATGAAGAATAACATTTTGTTTTCTTTGCATTAGAGGTCTCGCTAAAACTACAGTATATACTATTAAAATGTTTCGTTGTTAATATATACTTCTATTTAAGTCTGTATTTATGCTGTAAATAATACACGTAGTCTTGGTGAAGATTAGAATACAGTAGTGTTGTGGTGGTGTTGCAGAGAACGAGGTGTACCAGTTCTTCATCCGCGGTGAGGATCGTGGGTCTCCACGCCACCACAGTGACGTGCCCGTCACCATCTTCCTCCTGTCCACAAATGATCGATCTCCATACTGTGCCAGACAGTATGCCCAGTTCTTTCTCACTGAAGACGCCCCAGTTGGTGAGTAAAATATAGCTGCTATAATCTTGAATTTATATCCAGGAAACTTCAGGTAATTATATATGATTCATGACAGAGGACATGCAAGCTTGTGTAGACGTGTAAACTGAACAGCCTTGCACTTCAACATGTGTGCAGAAGCCAGTATCTCTGACACGTTGTTTACATCCGTGTGTATATTTAACAAAATCACTGAAGTGTCAGAGTGCGGAAGACACCTTTTAATTTCTTAGGAGATATTGTTCACATAATAGTACACGTAAGCTCACAGGTCAGAATTCAGAACGGTAGTTTGAGCCTGGGATTTGAGCTCGGCTCAGGCATGCGAATCGGGATTCCTCAATCCGAGATTTCCTGCAGTGGATTACCCATATTTAAAACATCGGCTTGAGCCCCAGGTCGGGTAATCTGTTGCATTTTTCTTCAGTTACGAGCAAGGACTCGAACACTGAAATTCCAGCCAATCACGTTTCATCTGCACCATTACGACAGCCAATCACCATCGAGAGTAATGTTTATAAGATTATGGCGACAACTATCACTCGACGAGTTTTTACGGAGGAGGAGAAATCTCTCCTTGCACGTCAAAAGTTACTTTTATTATTATAATTACAATCAAATTATGATTAAATTATAATGATTTATGGTACTGTGTTACAACGTGGCTGTGTTGTTATGTGATAACAAAGAAATTCATAGGCGAAGAACAATTACATACAAATTGTAGATATAATCCGGGACAGGTGTCAATATTCATAACCAAAGCAAGATGAATCAATGCAGGGCGTAGTGACCTGGCCAGGTTCTTTGGTTTCTTTCTGTTCTTTAAACTCCACATTTCCCCTGATTAATAATGTTAAGAGAATACTTTCTTTTATCAATACATTAAAATCAAAATGCAACTCAGCATTGATTCAATTATATTGAAAATACATCAAAATAGTTTTCCTAAAGACAAACACTCATAATAAAGAAGCGTCAGCGTTCTTTACATTTACCTGCTGGATCTTCATGGATCCTGAACACGAAAGTGTTGTAACACATTACTATAACTCATTCAGTAACCAGAATATTTCTTACCTGGAAAATATTCGTTGTGAAGAATCTCCCAATCATCAGCTGATGAATGGGAGGTAAAGGTGAACCATAGCCAACAGGTCTGCCAAGTAGATGCTCCATAACATGGCATATCAAGGAAATCTCCCTTGTTGAACCTATATCATTGTTTAAATTACGTGTCATCATAAAAAATTGTAGGATTCTGACTATCTACTATCAGTCTTCTCTCTACAAAATTTCCAATTTGATGATATCACCGAAAACCGCGCTCTCTGTCAAAATTAATGTTGACTTGCTTGAAGGATAGACCTCCAAACTTGCTTCCAGGTTAGATTAACGTGAGGATCGACAATTCCGATCTCAAACCCGGTTTGAATCTTTGTGTTAGCTCAAGCCAGTGTTCTGAATACCAACAATCTTCAATCTTGGCTCGATCCTTGGTTTAAACCTATATGCGGTTTGAAATCACTGTTCTGAATTCGGGCCTCAGTCTTTCGTGAAGAATTTGTAATTTTTCTCAGCTCATAAAATAGTCGACTGTGCTGTATATAGATACGACTCTGTGAAGGATGAGGAAGTGCTCATTATCAGTGGCTTGGTATATAGTTAGTGTTATAACTTTTTCTTTGCTTCATCAATTAAGGTCCTTAATCACGTAAGCAAGGTTTATTTATTAGTAGGAGTTTATAGAAAAGTACAAGCGATGCGCAATTCATAGTTCACAATGTGATAATAACTGTGTGTGTTACAGGTACTGTAATAACGTCATTGTGGATGGAGGGGCCGCAGACGGTGCAGTACTCCATCCTGGCAGACGAAGCAACAGAGAGACAGGTGGAGGTCACGGGGGGCTCCCACCAGATTTCTGGAGCTTTTGCTGTGACACCGACTGGGCTGGTTGTGGTGCGACGCGCCCTGGACCATGAGCGGCGACGCATCCACCGCATCACGGTCACCAACCACACGCTCTCCACACCCCCAGCTCTTGACTATATGACCATCTCTGTTGTGGTTAGTCCTCACACACACACACACTATATATATATATATATATATATATATATATATATATATATATATATATATATATATATATATATATATATATATATATATATATATATATATATATATATATATATATTGATAAAATCACACAGGAAAAAGGGATACAATGGAGCACCTTAGTTTTAGTCTTTATTCAAGACATCTTTAGAGGCAAATTAATTACAAGGATTGAGAGTGGCTTATGTTCCCAGGGTGACCTTAAAAAGCATGAGGTCTGGTCAAAAACATGACATAAGAACATATGAACACAAGGATGGAGGAAACTGCAGCGGGCCTAGTGGCCCATACTGGGCAGTCCCATTTACACCCAACCCCTACCACTCATATATCCATCCAATCTACGTTTGAAGCTATCCAGCGTATTCGAGTTAAATGATGGTGTTTGGTAACTTGTTCCATTCATCCACTACTATATTTCCAAACAAATGTGTACTTATCTCGCGCCTAAATCTAAATTTGTCTAATTTAAAGCCATTGTTACGAGTTCGCTCCTGGTTGGATAGTTTGAGTACCTTTGTTATAACGCCTTTGTTTAGCCCTGACTTCCATTTATACACCTCTATCAGGTCGCCCCTCACTCTACGTCTCTCTAGGGAGTGCAAATTAAGATACTTTAACCTGTCTCTGTACTCAAGGTTCCTAATGCCCGGGATTAGTCTTGTTATTCGCCTTTGAATTCTTTCTAGGGATTCTATATCCATTCTGTAATACGGTGACCAGAATTGAACTATATAATCCAAGTGAGGTCTCACAAGCGCAAGATATAGCTTTAGGATAACCTCTCTAGTCTTGTAACTAACACTCCATTGTATGAACCCGAGTACCTTATTAGCCTTGTTTCGAACAAATACACATTGTTTGCTTGGCTTAAGATTCCTACTTATCATTACTCCTAAATCTTTTCTTTCTTTAAATTTTATGGTAGGTAAATTTTCGTCTAATGTTATGTTTTTATTTTATATCACCTGTATTTTTAAAACTTTTTCAAAACTTTTTGTTTTCTAGGCTCTGATGATGGAAAATGATTTTTCCGAAACGGATTAAAGAAACCCATCTTAGTCAAGATGTTATATATACAGCTATATATATATATATATATATATATATATATATATATATATATATATATATATATATATATATATATATATATATATATATATGCAAGTAAATCACTGTAGTTTTTCATCAGGTATATGCTGATAACCACAAGGAAGGAACTTCGTGTTTTCTTTCTTTCCTTGTGGTTATCAGCATATATATATATATATATATATATATATATATATATATATATATATATATATATATATATATATATATATATATATATATATATATATATATATATATATATATATATATATATATATATATATATATATATATATATATATATATAGGGGTTATAGATAAAGTTCTTATAATATCCGAGCAGGAGAGGACTCAGAGCAACGGATTTAAGTTGGATAAGTTTAGGTTTAGGGGGAGACAGAAAGGAACTGGTTCACAAATAGGGTGGTGGACGAGTGGAACAAGCTTAGCAACTTTGTAGTAAGTGCTGGAACGCTGGAAAGTTTCAAATGGAGGCTGGATAGATTCATGGATGAGAGAGAGTGGTAGTAACTCTCGACAGGAGCTGCCATGCACAGGCCTATTGTAGACTCCTTATTTTCTTATGTTCTTTTATATATATATATATATATATATATATATATATATATATATATATATATATATATATATATATATATATATATATATATATATATATATATATATTGGAAACTTGTGTAACTACTGATTTTATGAAATCCCTGAAACTTTTAATAAGTTATACTGTATTTAATTACTTAACCTAACAGTAATTGCATATAACTTACTAAAAAAAATTGGATTTCATGAACGCACTGGTTACACAAGTTCCCTGTAACATATTCAGTATACACACACAGACACACTGGTGCTGCAGTGTTTTCTTTTTCCTGTAAGTTTTTAGCAAGATTTATCTTCTTCAGGTCATCACTGTGGATCTACAAGACATATAATTAATATCATCGTATCTTAATTAATATTTTTTGAGGTAACCATTAGTTTGTATTCGTAATAGTTACTGACACCTTCCCAAATGTTGCTCTTTAACGACAGCATATCATAATTATTTCCAAGAATTGCACGTTAATTCACCATAAGAAAGCTGGATGCGGTGTCACATGGTGTGACAACCAAGTCATATTATTATGACACGGTTGATAATCACACACACTTCTGGAACATGTGACTCATTATGATGGTGACGTAGGTGGGACAATTTCGTAAAGGGTCAGAATCAGTATGAGGAAGGTGACCGCTTGTATGGTGTGGTGCAGGTGATGGACGTGAACGACTGCTCGCCAAGGTTCTCGTCGACGACCTACGAGGCAATAGCTGCAGAGAACAGCGAGGTGGGCGCCGTCATCACCATCCTTATGGCTACCGATGACGATGATGGCAACAATGGTCAGGTGAGAACTACAGTAACTTCATCACACATATTTCGAAAAGAATATTTAATGTAGTGATGCAGGTATTAAGACTAATAACCGTCTTCACTGAACAGGTCCAGTACAGTCTCAGTTCCGGTGAAGATGTCACTGTGAGGTCAACATTCCGTATTGACCCACACTCGGGGGCAGTGACCCTAGCGGCTCCACTAGACAGGGAGTCCATGGCTAGGTACTCCTTCACCGTAGTGGCTACCGACGGGGGCCCCAAGCCACTCTCCACCTCGGCAAGGGTCACCGTGTTAGTCAAGGACTACAACGACAACCCGCCAGTGTTCACCAGAGATACCTACGTCACTGCCGGTGTGTTGACCCGGAGCAAACCTCCTTATTCCTTACGTACTGTGTTGTGATTAGCATGGTGTATTTATTGTATGAAAAGGGTAGTACGCACACACACACACACACACACACACACACACACACACACACACACACACACACACACACACACACACACACACACACACACACACACACACACACACACACACACACACACACACACACACACACACACACACACACACACACACACACACACACACACACACACACACACACACACACACACACACACACACACACACACACACACACACACACACACACACACACACACACACACACACACACACACACACACACACACACACACACACACACACACACACACACACACACACACACACACACACACACACACACACACACACACACACACACACACACACACACACACACACACACACACACACACACACACACACACACACACACACACACACACACACACACACACACACACACACACACACACACACACACACACACACACACACACACACACACACACACACACACACACACACACACACACACACACACACACACACACATACACACACACACACACACACACACACACACACACACACACACACACACACACACACACACACACACACACACACACACACACACACACACACACACACACACACACACACACACACACACACACACACACACACACACACATACACACACACACACACACACACACACACACACACACACACACACACACAACACAACACACACACACACACACACACACACACACAAGTACACACACACACACACACACACACACACACACACGCACACACACACACACACACACACACATGAACACACACACACACACACACGTACACACACACACACACACACCACACACACACACACACACATACACACACACATAAACACATACACACGTACGCACACACATACACACGTACACGCACACATGTATGCATACACACGTATGCACACACACATGTACATGCACACATGTATACATACAAACGTATGCACACAAACACGTACACGCAAACACACGTACGCACACACACACTACTACTACTATGTTGCTGTCACTCGGAATCGAGTATGACGATCAACCAGCTATGATACAATCATATGAGATATTAGGGATGTCACCTAGGTTGGTGAGTTCTAAGGTGACTAAAGAGGCCAATACGGGACCGGCAGTGTTGTTCACAGATGTTGCACGTGTGAAGGGCTACATCTAGTGCGGGAGGAGTGGCGGCAGCGTCTTTCCGGCGTAGCGCTTGTCTGCCTGGGTTTGCAGTCGGGCTAACCCGAAAGTATTGACACCTTCTCGTGTGGTGCTCCTCCAAGCATTACGATGTAGACTAATCGACTCCCAGGTGAGGGGGTCGATTTGGTACTTTTTCAGGTTTGTCTTAAGACTATCCTTATATCTTTTCAGTTGCCCGCCTGCATTATGTTGACTATTCGTTAGGTGACTGTAAAGTAGCTGCTTTGACATTCTACTGTCGTCCATGTGGGTAACATGGCCAGTCCAGCGTAGTTGTTCATGGATAATGGTAGCCTCGATGCTCCTACAGTTGGTGTCAGCAACAATATTGGCATTTGTTCTCTTGTCTTCCAGTCGAACACGGAGGATGGAACGTAGACTAAGTTGGTGAAAGTTTTCAAGTGCTTTGAGATATCCCCTATATGTAACCCATGTCTCACTGCCATATAGCAGGGTGGGGAGGACCACTGTTTGATATACGGGCAACTTTGTAGATAGTTTTTGCTCCCTACAGCTGAAGACACGGTTTCGGAGTCTGCCAAAGGCTTGAGATGCACATCTGATCCGATGCTGAATCTCTTCATCGATGTCTGCGGTGGTGGACAGGTGGGAGCCGAGATACCAAAAGTGGGTAACATTGGAGAGGGTAGCACCGTTAAGCTGGATGGATGGTGGAGGTGTGTCTGAACCAGGGGCAGGTTGAAAGAGAATCTGAGTTTAACATACATTCATCTCAAGGGCGAAGTGTGCATATGCATCTGCACAGATGTTCAGGATCTCCTGTAGGTCGTGTTCAGTGTGAGCAACAAGGGTGAGGTCATATGCATACTGAAGTTTGGTAATGGAGGCTGCCAACACCTTTGTTCTTGCCTGGAATTGTCTTATGTTGAAATGACCCCCCTTCACCCAGTACTCGATGTTCACCCCATTGGCTAAATTGGCACTTGCACAAGTAAGGAAGGGAGCCAGGAAAATGGAAATGAGAGTTGGTGCCAGTACACACCCTTGTTTAAACCCTGTTTGGTTGGGGAGGAACTCAGACTGGGTGCCATTGTGCAGGACACTGCCGTTCATGCCATCGTGGAGTTGCCTCACTATGGCGATGAATTTTGGTGAGCATCCAAAACGGTTGAGGGTCCACCAGACGGCTTCCCTGTTATCCAAGTCGAAAGCCTTGATTAGGTCGATGAAAGCCATGTACAGGTCACGATGCTGTTCTCTGCACTTTTCCTGTATCGGACGGGCAGCAAAGATTATGTGAGTGGTGCCACGTGATGGTTTAAAGCCAAATTGAGATTCTGGGAGGAAGTTTTCTGCCTCAGGAAGAAGTCTGTTTAGGAAGACTCGGGCGATAATCTTGCCAGCAATGGAGAGCAGCGAGATCCCGCAGTAGTTGCCACAGTCTGACCGGTCTCCCCTTTTCTTATAGATATTGACAATGGAGGCGTCTTTAAGAGCTTGGGGGATTTCCTCCTTTTCCCATATATTCTCCAGGAGAGAGTTGAGACAGCTTGTAAGCAGAGGTCCTCGTGCTTTATACACCTCGGCTGGGATTCCGTCAGCACCTGAGGCTTTGTTATTTTTCATCTGTTTGATGGCGGTAGCTTCCTCATCCTAGGATGGAGGATAGCTGAGGTGGGTCAGCTTTGGCTGCTGAGGGACTTGATTTGTAGTCAGGACATCCTCATCTGTGTTTTGGTTGAGCAGTGAATGGTAGTGCTCTTTCTAGCGTTGAAGGAGGCCTTCATCGTCTTTAATTGTGAAGTTACCATCAGATGAGCAAAGGGGGGCTGCGCCACGAGTGATTGGCCCATAATTGTTTGAATGGAATTAAAAAATTCGCGCATCTTATGCTGATCTGCAAGTTTGTGTGCTTCACATGCTTTATTTTTAAGCCAGTCATAATTTAGATTACGAAGTTCCCGCTGGGCCGCTGCTTTCTACTTGTTGAAGGTATCAGCTTTGGTCCGAGACAGAGGGTTGTTTTGCCTGTCAGTAAAAGCAGCACGTTTATCACCAATGAGTACATTGATTGCCGGGTCATTTTCATTAAATCAGTCCTGGTGTATTCTTTCGATCTGGCCGAGGGTCTCTCTGCAGGTTTTTGTCATGACAGTGTCGAGAATGTCTCATTCGGCACTGGGATTTTCGTTGTTTGCTGTTGGGTTGTTTACCAGACTATGTTCGAGCTCCTCTCTGAAAGCATGTGCTACCGCTGGGTCCTCCCGAAGTTTAGTATTAAAACCTCTTTTGGAGGATTCTGCCTTCTCCGTTTTTGGGGTGACGTGAAGTGAGAGCTTGTCTCTGACGAGTTGATGATTAGTGTCACAGTGGACTGAGCCACGCAGGGCACGGGTGATGTGGACATCTCGGCGATCTCTTTCTATGACCATGATGTAGTCAATGAGATGCCAGTGTTTGGATCGTGGGTGTTGCCACGAACCCTTGAACTTGTTGGCCTGCCTAAACAAGGTATTGGTGATGGTGAGGTTGTGTGCAGTGCATTAGTTGAGGAGGAGTAGGCGATTGAGATTACATTTGCCTAGTCCATTTCTCCCTTTGGGTCTCTGCCATATGTCAGCATCTCTGCCAACTCTGGCATTGAATTCACCAAGGAGCACCACCTTGTCATCACTGGGGATAAAGGGTAGCACTCTGTCGAAATCGGCGTAAAAGGCCTCTACATCCAGTGTTGGGGCGTATGCACTGATGAAAAAGGCATGGCGTGAGTGATTCAGTGGGACTCGAAGCGTCATGAGGCTCTCGTTGATCCCAATAGGCATTTCAATTAGCCTGTGTAGGATGCGTTGGCGGATGGCAAAGCCAACTCCATAAATGAGGTTTCTCTCCGCAGCAGGCTTACCTTGCCAGAAGAAGAAA